TGCGTATATTAAATATGCGCAAAAGAAATTAGTTATTAATAATTCCAAAAGAAAAAAAATAAAAAAAGAACTCACGCTTTATGATTTCCAACTTCTGGTTATTTAAATACATTTACTTCTTTTTTTATTATGCGGAAGATATAATTTGGAAACAAAAAAAAAAAAAAAGTCAAAAAAGAAAAAAAATGTAAATGATATTTCAATGCAGTTTTAAAATTTTCTAAAGAACACACGTGTGTACATACACACTCACATATACGTACTGGAATGAAGTTTATAATATGTGCCCCACAAAACTACAATTAATTACGAATTAAGCGATAAAGAAAAGAAAATTATAATTGAATCGATCACTCGAATTTAATTCCAATTTTATTTTTATTTTTTTAAGAAAAGAGAAAAATTAAAAGAAAAAATTATTTAATAAAAAATTGTTTTAAGTTGACGCCATCGTAAAATTATTTTTTCTTTTCTTCTTTTTAAGTTATAATGCTAAAATTTTAAATCTCTATCTATAGTTTTAAATATCTAAGTATATGGTATCTTCTTGTGTGTATGTTTGTTATAATATGGTACTTATAATTGTAAAAAAATAGTATATTCTAAGTATATCCAAAAAAGAAATATGTATATATATGTATATACAAATAAATAATGAAAAAGAGACAAAAAAGGGAAAAACCACCATCAAGTATTTATTTTTAGCACATTTTAAAAAAATCGGCTTATTATACTTTTACTCTGCCCGTTCATCGTTGGTCCGCTTGTTTTCAAAATTTTTACTTGCTTTAGAATGGAAACTGAAGTTTTGTACATCTTGTTCAATGTTTATCTTTTGACATCTTTGTTCAATTGATCTTGCTACCCCCCAACTCCTATTATTCGATCCTGATATTTTCAAAACTGCAAGCTTTTCCAAATTTCTAAATAATTGAAAATGTAATTGTGAGTCTGCTGTTAAAAAATATAATTATTTATCTCAACTTACCTAATTATTAATCGTCGCATTCCACCATTACGTTAACGCTTGTTTTATTCCTATAAGTATACAATAATTACTGCAATATATAATTTTTTGCCTTTCTTCGTCTTCTGGGGGAGATATATTAAGGTATCAAAGCTATGCGTCAATTGGATTTAATCAGACTAGGCGGGGGACTAACATGCAGCAATTATTGCATAATTTAATTTTAGTTCCTATATTTATGCAAATAAGAATAATGATGTTTATTTTTTTAAAGTACTTTTTTTTGTTCAAAACAAATGTGCTATTTTACAAACCACTTGGTTTGATCCGAAATATTATTATATGTATGTTATATTTGTATGATAGTTTTAATATTTATAATAAAATGTTCCAGGCCAGACCCGTGTGTACAAAAAACCAAAAGCCGTCACAAATATATTTTGTTGTCTCACCGTTTTCAGTTTGCTTTATTTATTTATTTATTTTTTTTTTTTTTTATTTTGTTATCTTTTTATTCATTTTATATAAGTAAAAATTTTTATTATTATAGTTTTCTTATTTTTTTTTTTGTAAGTCAATTCTATCTCATATAATATGTTTTAATTTTATATTTTCTTCTTCTCTTCTTAGTTGTACTACAGTACGAACGATGGTATTCACTTCAGTATGAAATGGTATTATTGTTGCATACAAAATTCGTTTCAATGATTTTGTGTTGTGTTGTGCGCCAGTTGATTTAAGCACGCAAATGAAAACGGTAGTACAATACGGATTTTTTTTGATAGTTCGTTAATTTTGGTGTTTTTGTTTTTTTAATTTTTTTTTTGTGCTTTTTGTTATATTTTAAATACATAAATTTTAATTTGCTTAAACATATGCATATATGTGTGTATGTATGTTAAGTACATATTATGTATATAGAAAATTAATTTTCATTAATTTTTATGCATCATGCATCTATACATACATACATATTTACTTATATGTAAACATTATATACATACATTATACATATGTACATTATGTATTTTTGATTTAAATAATAAATTTAAAATTATTGCGCTCTTTCTCATCATCACTTCTTGTATTCTGTATAAATGTATATAATAAAAATTTATGTTCCAAAATCTCCAAATAAAAATATATGTACATATATTTGTTTTTAAATATTATTTTTAGATATAAAATTATAATATACAAAGGGTTACATATAAGACAAACGTATTTTAAATAAATAAATACAATATCATTGTAAAAAATTTGCAGCTTACAAATTAAATACAATTATTAAATATAAATTGAGAAAAATAAATATAAATAAAATTTATTTATATAAGTAAATAATTAAATTTAATTTAAAATTAAATGTGTACGTTATAAGTATACCCAAAACAAATTTTATAAATATATAGTGAAATAAACAAATAATGTCATTTAATTTGAGTTTATCAATTTTTTTGCAATATTTACAATTAAAATTTAAGTTTTCAATTATATTGTGTAATTATTTTAATTAATATATTCTAAATGTTCAATTTATACAAATATAAAATTATTGCCAGGATAAATATATATTATAAAAAACGTTGTCTATAAATTATAATTGTTATAAACTTGAATTGAACTTTAAACAAAATTGTATATAAAACTATTTACTTACATATAGAGATTTAATGTTCCTATTTAATTGAAATTAAATTAAATTAAAATGTATATAAGAAATATAGATGCAAATTAAAAAAATATTATTTAATTGTACATATATATATATATATACTTATTAACAATAGAGCCGTCTTATATTAAACACAGATTTAACGTCAACTTGTCAACTTGTCAACTATTGTGCATGGATATAAATGAAATTTTGAATTTTTGGAAAAAAAAATTTGTTTATATAATAATTGCACAAACTTAAAAAATTATTTTTAAATCATTTTCTCAAAATAACGAAGTACCTACTGTGAAATTTTTATATATTCGGAATACCCAATAATCCAATAAAATTTGTTCTTAAAACAAAGAGTTTTCACAGTAAAAATAAATGTTATGCTGCCAAACAAAAAATGTTTTTTAACTAGAAATCTTTACTATATGGAATGTTCTACTATTTTTAGTTTAGAATTTTGAAAAATTTCAATTTGAATTTCTTTCAATATACAAATTACAAATCAGTGTATTTAAGGAGCATAAAAATATGCGATTTCTCAAAATTCTAATTTTTAATTCTGAAAGCAATATTACTTTTACATAGCAAAAATTTACATTTGTAATATAGTCTTTTAATTAAATATAATATTCAAAACTAAAAATTACTGTAGAAATATAATATTTTAAATGCAACATGTGTAAAATACTTACATACATTAAGTATAGTTTCCAAGAAAAAATTTAAAAATAAATAAAATAAAATACAATATATATTTTTTTACATCTTCAAGTATCTTTAAAATTCTCCATGTAAAATAGCTGGAGTGGAACAAAAGATTTTTCTAGTAATTAAAACATACAGATGTACATATGTATTTAACGTATGTATATCTATATTCTACTTTTTCCTTTAAAATACATACATGCACTTAAAATTATTTGATTTTTTTAAAGTATGGTTAAATGAATTAGCAATTTGTATTTTAAATATCTAAATTTAGAAATCCAATTCCTCTTTTTATCCCTGTTATAACACTTATACTGTTCGTGTATAAATTATGTCAGTATATAGAATCAAATATTAATATATTAAATTATTATTTTTATCTTCTGAAATTTCATTTATTCCATTCTATTCCATGTTAAAAATCACATTAAAATTGCCAGTTTAATTTAAAATTAAATCCATATATTATGAACTCACAGATGTTATTAAAATTTTACAAATGCTCTGCTCTGTAAAACGGTTTTAATTTTTTTTTATTCAATTTATATTTGCAAAACTTTACACATATTATATATATGTAGGTAATAAATCTAATGAGAAAAAATAAGAATTCTTTGTTTTTAATGGAAAATTTCTTGACCTTAGTTCATTTCAAAATGATCCCTTAACAACCATATTTTAAAAACTAACAGTATGGATATTCATTTTTACAGTACCTTCATCTAAATGATTAAAAAATTTTGAAAAAATTCAAAAGAATCCTCATTTCAAATGCCTTAATTTATAGGATTATTAAATTACTCACGCAAGTAGTACTCTAGAGTGTTTCGAAATAATTTAGGAAAAAAATGATTTTGTTACTAGCACAGCGTTGTTACAATTTAGATGTTAGGATTCTAATAAACTTATCGCCCTCATTAGCAATTCGTATAAATCATCAGCACAATCTTCAAATCTTAAAAATTTCTTAAATTTACAACTTTTTCATTACATTGTCATTGTTGCTATTAATACTTACATGTTAAATTTAGCAATAATTTGTACTTACGTATGTAGTACAAGAGAAGAGTTCAAATCAAATCAAATTGATTAATTTTTTTTTCTTGCTAAAAAAATTGAGCAAAAATAATGATAACACTTTATACATTAATTTTAAAATGAAAATTAGATTAATATAAGTATGAAATTAAATTATAAGTTTTTAAATAAAAGTAAACTCATTTAAATATAATCATGGGTTATCATCATTAAAGTACTTTATAAATTAAGATAACCAACATTAAAAAATGACAAAATGAGATTAAAATAAAATTATTACAGTGTTGTTGTTGTTTCTTAATTATAAATATACAAGTACTTATATATATATATGTATGTACAATATAAAAAAATCATTAATTAAAGCGTTTAAAAGTATAAAGTGAAACAATAAAACCATAATAATACAAAAAGTTATAATAACAGTAAGAGTAAAGAGCGGCATTGAATTCATTCTTAATTTTATAATGAAAAGCAAATTTTTGTGTAGGCTCGAAATCTTAAATGAATTTATTTATTTATTCGTTGAAAATAAATAAATAAATTTATTATGTAGATATATTTATTGATATGTAAATGTATGTGTATGTAAGTAATATGATTTTTTTTTCTTTAAAGTGTAAAATGGTCTCTTAAAAGCATCGTTCAAACATCAAAAAAAGCCGTATGTACTTATTTATATGAATTGGTGAATTAAAAGAACGCTATATAGTCACTAGTCATATAAATAATAAAAATACTCAAGAGAAACAAACATAAAAAAAAAATAATAAATTTATACCAGTTTCTAAACTACATTTAATAACTACGTTTATTTATTGTGGGTGATATTTTTTTCTTTTTTTTTGTTATCTAAATAAAGTTTAATAAATTCAAAATAAAAATTATGGTAGATTATTAAAAAAAAATTAAAAGTAATAATAACTGTTCTACTACATTAAAGAATAAATTAATTTGAAATTAAAACAAAAAAATTTTATTTTGAATTTGAAAAAATCCTATTACAACAATGAAATCAAAAGTTTGGAATAAAATTTTTAATAAAAATAAATCATCATCTGCAAATAATTCAACAACACCATCAACATCAACAACAGCAGAAAAAGAATGTACAACAAGTTCTTCAAATACAAATGCAAATTATTATGAAATTTCAAAAAATCGAATACAAACATCGAATGATGATACTACATTAATTAATTATGAACACGGCAACACATTAAATGATAATAAAAATTTTAATACAAATAAAAAACATACAAAATATAAAAATGATATTTTATTAAATGATGAAATTAATTATTTAGATTTAAATAAAAGAAATTCAATTATAAAACCTGGTACATCAGCAACACTGGGACGTTTAAATTCTAATCAAGAAAAATTAATATCATCATCTGGTAATTGTAGTCCTAATAAAGTATCAAAAATATCTAAAATGGTTAATTCATTTACATTAAAACGTCATTCTTCAAAAAAGAAATCTGCATGTAATCCCGATGTTGCAATATCAATAATACGAAGTAATGAATCAACAAAATTATTTAATTTAGAAAAATTAAATAAAAGATCAAATTCAGATCATAATTTTAATCAATCATCATCGGTAGCAGGATCAACAACAAAAACAATAATATCAAATTCAAATGATGAAATTAATCAATTTGATAATAATTTTCAAGAAGAATTTATGATAAATGATAATAATGAAATAAAAAATTCACCTACAAATAATTTTTTCGAATTACCTTTACCTACTGATTCAGGTATCTATATATATATATATATAAATGTAAATTTATATATTACATTTATGCTAATACAATTATATTACTTATAATTAGTTTAAATTCAAAATTATATTAAATTTTGTATACTACTTACAATATAATTCAGCAATAAGAATTAGTAATCTATGTATAACTAAATTTTGAAGTTAGTGTATATTATAGCAATACTCAACGAATAATAAATAATAACCCTGATTTTCACAACACAATAATAGCAAATACAATTCCTAACGACGAATGGTTAGAACTCAATTAAATAATTCACATTTAAATTCACCTACAACTCCGTACCATATACAATACAACATTATTACATACAAGAACGTGTCGGGCAAATATTTTTAGCCCAAATAGAATTAAACAACCGCTTGTAATAAGAATTTATTATTTATTTATGTTTCAATTTTATATTCATACTTAAAATTAAATTTAAATTATTATTTTGTGTGAACATACCTTATTTAATAATTATAAAATAATTTAATTATTCTTCACTTTAATTTAAAACTTCATTTTTTCACTTAATTCTTATAATTGAAATTCCATTCAAAAATATTCCAAAAGGATTGTCAAATTATTTCAATAATGACAGAAAATTTTTATTAGGCTTCCCAATTATTATTAATTTTCTTAATTATGTTTTTGCAACATTTTTACATCTTTGGTAAATTTTCTTCTCCTAAAAAATTTATTAATCAAAAATTGTCCAAATAAAATTTAATTATTTTTAATTTAAAAATTTAATTTATTTTACAAACCTTATTGGGTAAAATGCTTTCAGATGTTTTTGTAAATATGCACAATATTATAAAAATTATAATCATACTAAATAATTCCATCAAATTATTTTTTATCCATGTCAGAATAACTGATGTAAATTCTAAATGATTTTGATAATGTTGATATTTATTAATTGAATCCATTTTATATTTTTTTAATAATATGTAATTATTATAGTTATAGACAAATTAAATTATTGAAAATATAGGTAAATATGGACAATAAATTTATTATTTTTGCCACTCAAAAAATTTCTCAGTCGCGTTTTACAAACTTAGCGATTAAAACATTTAATTCTTACTACGTTACATAAAAATCGAAAAGGGTTTAAAATTTTAAAAAATAAAATACCTTTACAAGGTTATATTTAGATATAAATATAAATTTCGAATGTTAGTAATTATAATTAACAATTTTATCTATTTTATTATTTTACACTTTTTTTTTATTCGAATTTTTTATCAATTTTCTAAACATTTTATTTTATCTTCTTTAAAGATTTACAAACATACAATAATTAAATTTTAATATGTACTTCTTTTTATCAAGCGCGTTACATAAAATAAACGTGATTATTTGAGGGCAGCAAATGCCGAGTTTTCGGTTCAAATGCACTTCTGTAGGGAAGCGTTAATAAATTATTTTTGAAAGATGTCGATTTGTGTGTGCGCGCGTGTGTCTTAAGTTTGGCTTAAACAATTTCGATGAAAATTTATGATAATTTACTGTCACGGATCGATTAACTTTTCAGACAAGTCAGACCTTACTAAGCGGACCTTTTTACGGACCGATTTTACATTTTTTATCATTTTTCTTGAAATATGTATTAAGTATATGTAAACTTCGTTTGACATAGTCCGAGAAACAACCTCACTTATGGATTAAATCAGGTGCCAGTCGCTATTATGGATTAAATCAACCCAGGTCTTTTATTACGTGTCAAATTTAAATTTTTGCTCATATAAAGAGAAAAAATCAATCAATTTTCTTGAAATTTGATATTTAAGTTCGGTGTGTTAAAGCAATAAACTTATAAATTTTGTGGGAATAACAGGGCTTGGGAACTGAACAAGGGGCCGATTTTTTTGTATTCTTTGAAGTTTTATATTTGAGTTCTGTTTACTACCATAAGTAACTGTCAAACTTTTCAGGGAATTAGGATGATATTAAGTGGCCTTCTACTAGGAGCCAAAATTATATTTTTCTGGGTAAGGTAACTAAAAGCTTGCTAATGTTCTTAAAATTTAAAAGTAATATTTGAAGGGCATTTTTATAGTCTTGTGCAACACTTTTGCTCAATTAAACAATACACATTGCGATCGGTTATGTGCTGGCCACTTTAACAATATTTGGTGGTTTAGTTATCCATCAAATAAAAAGGGAAATTGAATTTTTTATTTTAATTTTATAAACTATGTATATATATATACCTACTTATATCTAATTTTTAACATACTTAGATATTATAGGCATTTAATCAAAACACAAGCGGAAATTTAATTTTTTTTTTTTGTTTTTTTATTAGAAAATTAATTGAATAATTAATTAGCCAAATAATTATTATTCAAAATAAGTAGTTACAATATTATGTGCATTATCTTTTGTATTATTGTAATTGTATTATTATAATGAAATAACAACAGTTATAATGAAAAATAAATAGTGAAATGAAATTAAATTCATTATTTATTTTTTGTTTTTCAAACAATTTTCAAAAAGTAAATTTGAAAAACTATTGTGAACTAAAATTATAACTATTATTTAAATTTTTGGGGTCAACTTTAAACAAATTATACAATAATGAAATTAAAATTTTTTTATATTTTTAATAATTTGTTAATTACTTTCATAAGTAATGAATATATTATTAACGTAATATTTCTAAAGTTTTTATTGTATAATACTTTTATTTAAAATATTAATACAATTTAATTTATTATTTGCTTTTTGATTGTCGGTTATTCCTTATCCTTACATAAAAAGTTATTTAATTTAAATTCAAATTCAAATTTAATTTATGATCGTTAATTGAATTGAAAGTAATTTTGATATTCCTAAATCTTGTTGTAGTTCGATAAAATTAAAATTAGTTTGACAAAACAATTTCGATTCTTTTGTTTTTTATATGGTTTTTTATATTCAATTTTCTAAAATTACGATTTGTCAATTTTTTGTATCAAATTTCAAAATTTTAACTATGTATGTACAGTATCAATTCAATTTGATCTCGATCAAATTTTATTTAATTAAGAAATTAAAGAATATATCCCTATTTACCTTAGTATGGCATGCATGTTTGTACGTCTATGTCATGGAATTTAAAAAAATCCTTTACCAAACTTTAAACGCGTTTTCTGGCTAAACTATAAGAGATAATAGTAGTGTTTTTGTGATCACTGGGAATTTACAGATTCTGCCAATATAAGATACGAGTAATAGAGTGTAGCAAAAATATTTTTGGAGATATTTTGAAAAAATTTTTTGCAAATCTTCAAACGCGACCACTGGGGAATTTTCCATCATTTAAGCAATAAAAATTAAAAATTTAAATGGTTTGAATTATTAACTGAGATATTTGAATAAAATTTCTCATTAATTTAAATTCATATTTTCTCTGTGCCCGATGCAATTAATAAAGTCGATCTTGTAGAGCATAAATGATAGTATCAAATATATTTAAACTATTTTTCTAAATACACATTTAAGTGCACAGAAAGTCTTGACTAGTTTCTATTTTTAACAGAACAATCCTTCACATAGAAGTAGAAACATAATGAAAAAAGTATATTTATAAATCAAAATAATGGAAAAACTATTGCCTTACAAGATTGGTGAGGTAGCTCTGACCTTGGAGTTTTAATATTAAGAATATAAAATGATAGTTTCCTATATTAATCATTTTTTTTTTCATTAATCATGTATAAAAATACTTTAACTAACAATAATACTCTACAATTGTACTACTTATATAGTTGTTTGTTCTTTTTTTAAATTTATTATTTTTGTGATTATTTAAAAATAAGAAATTTATATTTTCGTGCATTCACGAACTCAAATAATATTTTATTAATATTTTTCGATTAAATTGGAGACATCTCTTCTATATTAAGAAAAAAAAAAAAAACAAAACAAGAAGAAAATAGAACTACCTTCTTATTGTAATTTCAAATACTGAAAATTATGTAACATTACAAGAAAAACAAGAAAAATTTCAAAAAGAAGGCATGAATGTTAAATAAACTCTAAAACAAATTGTTTGCTTTTTAATTTTTAATTGAGTGAAATTTTTTAACTACTCTTTATGATTTACTTACTTATTAATATCATCAGGCGGTTACCTATAAATTAAAATGTCAAAATTATGCCGCATAGCATAAAAAGCAAAAAATAGAAAAATTAATAGTATTTAATCGATATAAGTAACTATCATTTAAATTAATAACTAACAATACAAAAATGTCACATTTAATAGAAAAAGCTGTCATTTCGCCCTCCTTTTATCTCGTTGCTGCAAGCTGCAATTCAAAATTTGAGTACTATTCAGTGCTAAGCTAAACAAACTTTATAAGCTCAGATATAGAACTAAATTTAGAACTAATTTTCTAGTCAAGTCAGTCCTAAACTACCAGTCTTATTTAATTTTTTTTAATATTGGATTGCAAAGAGCTAAAATTAATATTGCGCAGTATGTTTGTCAAAATTTAATTCTTAACATTATCTCTATAATAATCAACTTGGAAAACCACTACTCACTTTTAATTCCAATTTGAATGGTGATAGCTCAGCATATCAATCGATAGACGTATGTTACATTAATCCACGCGAATTTATATAAAGAATACAGCTTATAATAGTAATTAATATACATATTAATTTTCCAAATGAATATTTAACTAAACGTATACTCGTACAAACATACATATTTATAATATATCTGGCCCTGCAAAACCTACCACTAGAATATCGTCATCTTGTGGTACCAACGTCTACAATATTCGTTTACTATAATCTTCAGAAATGACACACATGTAGATTTAGTAGCACATTCTATTGAAACTTGATACTGTTGAAAAGAAGATATTTCATTTAGAGACACCGCCGATTATGGGATGTTATTTTCTTGTTCTTGTTTGTAGTTGAAAATAAATTTTATACGGGCTGGCAATCAAATTAATAAAATTATTATTTTCTCAGTAATGTTATACAAGGATGTAGTATCTTGTGTTATAGATATACGAGCATACCAATATCAATATATAAATTTTTCTATTTCTCTGTGGATTCCTTCATTATTACTTTGCTCTCTCTGCTCTACTCTTTTGAGTAACATAATTAATAAATAGAATTTTTGCTTCTAAATGCATGTGATTTCTTTTTCTCTGACATAACTTTATTGGTAAAATTTCGCAAAACTCGCATCGCACGCACATGTTTGAAAAAAAGTGCCTACTTACTTCATTGATTATTTAAAAAAGACATTATTTTAAAAAATAAATAAATGTCGAATGTCAAATATGCAAAATATTATAAAATCAAACATATAAATATAAAACAATCTTTTATGATTTTTAAAAAAAATAATAATTTTTATTTTTTATTCAATTTACAGATTATATTAAACCGTTAAATAGTTTTGCCTACCAAACTGAATCAATTGTCATGGAATTAAAACCATGTCCTATTTGTAATCGAACTTTTGTACCAGATAAATTAGAAAAGCACGTTAAAATTTGTGAAAAATGGGCAACACAAAAAAGAAAAGTTTTCGACTCATCACGTCAACGTCGTGAAGGTACTGAAATGGCAGCTTATTTACCAAAAGATTTTGGCTTTTCAACATCTAAACAATGTTCACCAGAAATTGGAATACCATTAGAATCTAAACACGAAATAGTAAAAAAAAATAAAATTTTTCATAAAATAAATTAAAAAATTTAACAAAATTATTTCCTTATTTCATCCTAATAGAATTCATCTGCAACATTTCCGAATCAAATTATTGAAAGTAAACATCATTCATTACAGCAACAACAACCACAACAAATTCATCATCCATTGAGGCAAAAATCTATTACTTCAAATAATACATTATTGGGAACTAAAAAATCATTAAGTCCAACGTCACGTATGACAGCAGCACAAATTGCTGAAATTAAAGCAAGAGCTGAAGCCAAACGTCATATCCCACCAGCCAGTGAGCAATGTCCTGAATGTGGACGTCATTTTGGAATAAAAGCCTACGATAGGCATGTTGAATTTTGTAAAGAAAAATCTAAAATAGCACAATTTAAAGGTAATAATACATCACAAGCCAAAGAACGTTTAGAAGCAAGAACAAAATATAGGGCACCAAATTTAAGGTAAAATATTTTTATAATTTAAATTCATTAAATTTTATGTTTTTCAACTGAATGTATTATACATACATTCTATCCTATATTTACTTGTAGATTAAAAAGAGCTGCTGTAAGAGATAAATATTCTGGAAATGGAGACGATGCACATGATGAAAATCGATTTGATGATTTTTTAAGCATGTCAAATTCATTAAGTTCTTCATTTATGAGCGATGGGTAAGTCATAAATTTTCAAAACTTTGAGCGACGAATTAGGAATTGCACACACACGTTAATAAAAATTATTGTTTTTATTAATTTAATAATTTTGTACCCAAATTATAACACAAAAAACCTACATAAGAGTATAAAAGATATCACTCAGAATCAAGATTCGTATTTCTTAAAGTACTTATTATATCTTTGATATTTATTAGAGTTCATTTCCTACACAATTTTCTATTTTTAACATTTTTAATGCTAAGATGAAACATAAAATTTCTTACGAAATCCATTGACATATCATTAAAAAACAAAAATACAAAAAAATATGATGATGTTGGAACAGGATAATCTAAAAATACATAAAATATAAAATTCCATTTTTGGAATAAATTGTCAAAAAAATCTTCTGATAGCAAAATTTATGTATGATCAGAAATTAAAAATTTGACATTAGAAATTTGAAATCAAAAATTATTTAATTTGTAATGATATTGTTTATAAAGAAAATGAAGAAATTAGAATTGAAAACAAGAAATTATGGAAACTACTGTTGGAACATCAGAACTAGAATTAGAATTCGAAATTAAATCTATAGTTTTAATAGAAGATGAAAAATATATTTCAAATAGGTAATGAAGATTGAGAAAATTACACATATTTTTATTAAAAATTTTTCAATTAATTAAAATGTCGGTACAGCACAAAAAATAATTTTGAAAACGAAGCTAAAAACATCAATTATGAACAAATTGAATATGGATTAAAAAGAGTGAATTTAAATGAGAATCGAAATCATTCGAATGCCAGTTAGTTTTAAATTATTAAAAATTTAATTGCTTATGAAGTTTAAAAATTTTTTTAGTTGGCTATCGAATTTGTTACCTAATACAATACTGTTTTAAAATTAATTTCGTCTTTCAGAACTCTTCATTACAAAAACATTCAGTGAAGCAAGCAGCAAATATAAATTTCAAGAAAATATTTCTACATCTTTTATTGAAAATAACAATTATAAAAATCAAGAACCATCCAAATTATCAATTTTAATAAAAAAAAATTTGAGTGTACAAGCCTTTAGTAAATCCAAACATAGCAAAACAATATCAAAGTAATTTTTATATAAAAATTTTTAAAAAATGTGCCTTTCAAACTTATACAGATTTTGATTCAGCTTTTAAATATAAAACATTTAATATGGAACGAAAATTAAATTTTAATTTTAAAAATGATCATTCTAAATTCATTATTATAAACGAAGAAAAAACTTGTGACAAAAATTTTAAAAAATTTCATTTGCCACCTTTAAAAATCAAGAAAGTTTCTAAATATCAAACAGCGACCAATTCTAAGACTGATAATTTTTGGATGAATATTGCAAGTTTTGAAAATCGAAGTCAAATAAATATCATTAAAAAATCAGTTAAACAGCAATCAGAAACTATTAAGTAATTAATATCATTTAAACAAATTAAATTAAAATAATTTTAAACAAATTTCACCAATATATATCAGAAAAATGAGAAAACATAGAGATCCTAGTGTATTAATTAGAGAACAAAAAAAACTAATTTCCGTTTTTTAACTCTACTTTAACGTTTATAATAACATTACATAAAATTTTTTTTCTTTTAGGGGTTATTCCGATAAGTATGACCCATTTTTATCAGCAAAACGACAACTCGAAGAGTTATGTTCACCGACATCAACAACAAAAACAAAATTTGATGAAATAAAATCACCGAAAACACCACTAACACCAAAAACTCCACTATATTCCAACATAAAAGCTAATCAACACCAAATTTTAAATTCTTCAACTTCATCACCAATGACATCTTCTTATACAGGTCCTTCTACAACTTCTTCAATTAATCCAAGTAGAACTTTAAATGCTGTTAAATCGAATTTTAGAAGAACATCTTCATTGCGAGCACCTCGTAAAAGTACCCCTTCACGTCCTTTGTTTGTACCGCCGAATCGTTCAAGACCATCAACAATACAAAGAGGTATTTCTGACGAAGGACCGATTTCAACAAATTTTATAAAACCTGAAGAATATGATGAAATGCCTGTTAAATCAGCTTGCATAAATAACTTTGCAACATCCGTTAACAGTCCAAGATTGAAACGAGATGCCAGTCCTAGACCTCGTCTTTTATCCAACAGTTCTCGTGAATCCAGTCCAAAAACACTTAAACGCGATCCTAGTCCATTGGTTGTTCGCCGAAGCTCTAATTCAAATTTAAATCGCAGAAATTTACGGTTGAATTTAAATAATGGGGATGAAAATATTCCATCCGGAGTGCAGAAAACTGATTCATTGGCAGTATTTTTGAAATATGAAAATGAATTAGTCAGAGGATTAGTTGATGCACAAAACAATCAAGAAAATAATACATTAGAGACCGTATCAACTGAAACTACACCAACAATAAAATCCTCGCTTCCAACTCCCGTAACAGAAAAAGATTTAAAAGATAAAACTAATATCTTAAGTAAACAAAATTCATTAAAAAATTCTTCAAGCGATTTACAAGTTGATAAAAATTTTAATTTTAATTACCTTAATAATGAAAAGGAATTGAAATCTTCTATATTAAAGCCAAATTCTAATATGACAGATCAGCACCATAATGTGAATAACAGAAATTTAAATAGTTTTGGATCGAGACCACGAACGGCTGAAACATATTTATCACTTAACAAAATTTTGCCAATCAAACTAGATCCGCTACCGAAATCTATTGTAATGAAAAATTCTATATCAAATCTTTCATCTTCAAAATCATCTAGTACTCAATCGAATACTCAATGTAATAATACTCTTGCCCCGTTATCTCCCTCCAGTAAAATTTTAAGTAAAACTAATTCAATGAATAGCAATAAGGTTAATTTAACTTCAATTTTCTTCAATAATAATAACGACTCCAAAGACCATAATTATATTGATCCAAAATTAATAAATCCTTGTGATAATTTAACTGTAACTTCAGTTGATTCGACAGATGACATAAAATCCAATTGGAGTCAAGAATCAAATGATACAACTAAAATGAATCAAAATATCAATGAAAATCTACCAAAAAGAGAGAATCAAAACGAATCTGCTGACCTTGAAACATTTTCATTAGACATAGAACAATTGCAACAAGATCAAGGTCAAGACCAATTATCAACATGTAGTCGAAATTCAATGATGAGTGAAAAAAGTAACAAATTATTTAAACGTCAAATTCGATTAGGGAAAAATCAATTTTTGTATGATGCTTCGCCAAGCGATAGTGAATCTAGTCCTGAACTAATTGATATTGGTCAAAATTCTAATACTGATAATATGGTCAATATAGATAGAAATAGTAACGTAAGACAGTCTTCTAAACCTTCAACAATACAAACAACTACACTAACAAAAAATCCATCACCATTTACATGCGAAAATGAATTTGAATCTTTTCTTCCTCCTAGCATAAATCCAATTTTTGATAATTTTGATTTTGAAGAATTTCTTGCAACTTTTGAAAACAATAATGATATTGATGATTCATTTCCTGGTTTGAAAGATTGCAAGGAATTTTTAATGAATCGTTGTCTTAATATGCGTTCAAATAATAATTTTAGTAAAAACTTAACAATGTTTCATCAATATCATAATAATTCCCCTTGCGATTCGATTAGAGCCCAAAAATTGGAAGAAGAACAAAACATTGAAAATAAGAAACGGTCACAAAATGAAGATGAAAAGCATGAAATTTTTATAAGCATTGAAACTGATCAAAATGAAAATGAAGAGCCATTGGATGTTAATTCTTGTACAAGCGATCCGTCTATAATGAAAAATCCTGAAGTTGAAGAGATTAATGGTAATGATAATAAATTTACAAAAATTGAAACTTACCATTTACCCATATTTGAAGAGGATAAAGACAATTCACTAACAGATTTTGAAATCAAGTCTATACCCAGAAATAAATTAATTAAAAAATCAATTCATGAAAACCATAAAACTAATGAAAATGGCAATAAAAATATTGGCAACTATGAAAATCTTAGAGAAAAAACTAATGAATCAAATAATTCTGACATATATCCAGTTGATTCAGATGATGTCAGTAGCGTAGAATGTTTTCCGATTGGCCGTAAAAGTATCAAATCAAAAACGAGTTCGGATTCTGCATATGGAAGGTACGTTAATGAAACTTTTTATTTACTAATTTTGTTTTACTTTCATTTTAGTTTTACATTATTATAAAATTTCATTGAATTTTCCTTTTTCAAAACAAAAACAAAAATATAGTTTGTCACGCAATAGTCCAACATCAGCAGATCGAACAACATTTCATCGTCTATCTGGCAAAGGACAAAATCATCTACCATCACCATCTAATATTTCTTCTTTTGAACAAAATGAGAGTAAAATAGCAATGCGTGAGAATAATAATCATTTAAATGCAAGTTCTAGTGGTTCTGAAAACTCACTATTACGAACCGATAATAAATATTTGCAACAGCAAGAACAAAATCGTTCCTCTTCTAAGGATGACTCAATTAATTTTCTTCATCAAAATTTTAATATAAAATCAGAAAATAATTATAATATCAGAAAGGACTCATGTTCAAAAGATTCTTTAAATGATTCCAACGATAATTGTAATACAAAACCAATATTATCAAAATTTTGTTATGAATGCGGTAGTAAATTTTTGGTTGCAACAGCTAAATTTTGTATGGAATGTGGTGTTAGACGATTAGCTATTGAATAATAATGATATAATAATTTGATATAATCAAAGTTAAGTAAAATCATAATTATTTGTAACAAAAAAAATGTAAAATTCAAGAATAGAAAAAGTTATTTTTAAAAATATTAAAACATTTTTATCCATATTATAATTATTATATTATTATATTATACTAACAATTTAAAAAGCAAAAAAAAAAAATGGAAAATTTAATATTATATGTATGTCATCATGTTTTTAGGTAATTAATTAAATTAATAAAATTGTATTAATTTCAAATAATAGTTACATAAATGAGCGCAATTAAAAAATGTATATTTTTACGTAATTTATTTTATTATTATTAACAAAAAAATGAAAAACAGAGTTGAATTCAGATTTACATTATGCCTGAAAGAGTGAAAACAGAACGATGTTAAAGCGAATTTATATAAATAGTATTCCTTTATTTAATTATATTAAGGAAAAAGTAAATACATGGTTAGATACATGGTTATTAGTAAATACATAGTTCTCTCAGATTAAAAATTTAAATTTACAAAAGCAAATAAAATAGAAGACAACGAACTTATACCTATATGAATTCGCTTAAGAAGTCATTCTAAAAATATCATAAATTAAATTTTGCAATTTTTATATACCTAATTTGCTGGTACGTATTGATTTATAAAGTAAAAAACAAAAAAAAATTTAAAAAAATAGAAATTTAATCGTACCAACAGTTTTAAGTACTTGAAATAATTAGATGCCCAATTGCATTTTGTATAATTCTACATTAATAAATTATTTAAAAAAAAAAATAATATTAAACATATATGAAAAATTTTTTTTAAACCTGGGCGTTACTGCACCAACAACTTTTTACTTTTTTTAATCAATTGATCAAAAAGTTTGCAAAATTTCTGTTGCATCAAAGATCAAAAACCATTAATGACCTACATATTTTATGAATTATATTAACTAAAAGTAAAAGCGAAAGTTGATGCAATAGGGTCAATTAAAAGTGTTTATAATATTACATGTAGCATAACATCAAACATTATGGATCAAATAATTTTAAAAATATACAACTCTGATAGAGATTTTTTAAATTAAATATGAGCAGAAATTAAAAATTCCTATTATTATTTATTCACAATGTATGATGTGATGTTAGTGGATTGTTGTAACTTTCTCTACCTTAATTTCAATTATAATTAAATTTTTAAATTCTGTTTTAAACAATAATATTGAAAGGAAAACAATTAGGACGAATCCTTTTTTTTTTTTGTTTTTGATTAATTGCAGCAGCTTTTAATTATAGTTCTTGATATCGACATTCATACTCAAATAATATAATTTATTGTAATAAATTTTGAATTCACAAAAAATTATAAGGGAGAAATCCCAAAATAAAATTCAAACCATATTAAAAATTAATAAATATTTTTTATTAATTTTATTTTATTGCAAATTTTATTTATGATTAATATACATAATGTACTAAAATTATTATTTTTTAATTTTATTATTTTTATTTTTATTTTTTTTTTTAATTTAACAAAGACTGAACTTATCTTCCAATTAAAAGCAAAGCTACTAATAATATAATTCATTAAAATCTAATTATTAGCTATGTTTTTTAATATTTATTTGATATAATATCAAACATAGTTAGTTTTTTACTCGGTTTTTATGGATTAAACGTTTCATACACTATGAAAATTTAATATTTTAAAATTATTATTTGATTTAAAATAAAAAATAATATGAGTTAACGCTTAAGAATATTATTTCTATTTTTTTGGTTTCGGCTATTTTTTCTAAAATTCATAAATTTTTATAAGCTCATTGTAATCCATCAAAATCAGAAAAAGTGAATTTTTGTATACTTTTAAGATTATTTTTGGGCCAAGTTTTTGATTCAGAAATACTTGATTTAAATGCATTATGTATTTTTAACAAAAAATTCATTGAAAAACAGATTTTTATAAATATGGATTTTTTTTAAAGATTTCACTCGAAAAATTGCTTCATGCCTTTGTTGCTTTTTGAAATATCTATCGAAAATATAAGTGGTAACTAAAAGTATATAAGTAACTAAAACTTTTTATGACAATTGATATTTACCAACATTGCTATTATTTTTTTTTATATAATTTTTTAAAATAATTGTTATTAATTTATTAATTAATTAATATTTGAATATAAAATTGTTTTTTTTGTTCTTTTTTTTTTCTTTGTTATAATTTTTCGCGAAAAAGAAAAAAATTTACTAATTTCAAAATTTAAAAACAAAAATATCATTAATTTAAGAAAAATTAAATAAATAACAATGAATCTTCATTAAATAAGTACGAATTAAATAAACAATTTATTAATTATTGTGTTAAGTACATTATGTACAAAAAAAAAATATTTAAATTACAGTGAAGCAATAAAAAAGCTTTTTTTTTGTTTTCAATTGACAAACATTCAAATAAACACAAAAAAATTGTTCTTCAAAACCTAGTCAAGAAACTTTGGGTTTTTTTTTTAATAAAGGAAAATTTAAAAGTACGAAATGTTTTTATTAATTTATTTGTTTATTAAATTTCATATCATATAAAAATACATGCATGAGCCTCAAATACATAAGAGCAATTAATTACAAAGATAAGAGAACTGGGTATTCTTAAATAAAATCTGTGCCATAGAAATTTTAAGATGTTTAGGTTATAGTAACCTAATATTAGTTTAAATCATAAAATTGGGCCAAATCTTATATTGATAAAAAATGATGAAGTGTGTAGTTGATTTCTATAAAAAAGAAATTTCGAAATTAAATTTTGAAAATTTTTTTTTAATACTGTTATTATGATAAGACCAAAATGATTAATATCAAATTCGAAGTTATTTGTAAGTAGAATTTTTTGTCAACCAAGTTTATATAACTTAACCTGGCTTCATCTATTTGAGTAGTTTAAATAATAAAAAAGGTCGTAAGTTAAGAAAATGCGTGCAAAATTTTATATGTAAATTATATTATGATATTTCTATAAGAACAATATCCTCAAAACTCCTCAAAGATTGACTTTTTTCATTGTTATGTAACACAATATTGTCTAGAACCGAGAATAGCAAACTTATAGAAGAAACGTTTTCTTTATTCCAAAATTTTTATTTTTAATTCCAATTACTGATTTAGAGTGAAATATTGAAGATTGCGCTTTCAGTTTTTAATTTAGATTTTTTTCATGTTATGCATTTCTTTTGTTAATTTCCTTATTTTAATAAGCAGCAATTGAAATGTTGAGATATGAACTGAAAATGACGGATTTTCAGAAAGTATTTAAGATATAAATAATTAACGCAAAAGAATTAAAACATTTTTTTTTTAAATAATTTAAAAATAACTTTAATTCCTTTTATGAAAAAAATTTGATTTATTTTAATTTTAATTTTAAAACTTAAAATTTGATAATGAACATTAATTCTGTAATTAGAAAAAACTCGATAAATAATTACACATTTCAAATTTATTAAAAATTCACCTTAAGCGATTGCATTTAAATGATTCAATTTCAATGTGAGTTTAAGTATTTGTATTATTATATACAAATTACTATAAAAAATTAGCTTAAGTTTTTCATAATTACATGACATCTTTATCACATTACATTTAAAATTCATTAAATCTCAGTCATGTCCACAAATTTTTGAAATGGTATTTGGAGAAACTAAAGCTGATTATTTTATTAAAATTTACGAGAACATTGCGAATTTTTAATAAATTTCCAATAAACTAAAAAAAAATGTTAGATGTTTGGCTACATTTGAATCATTCATTCTCAAAATATGTTTAGCTCTTAAAATTTGAGTTCGTTATTCAATCGAAAAGTGTAGCTGTTTCGTTACAAAAAGGATGTTTGTTTTATTAAACACTTATTATCCTAATAAGATCGGATTGCTGGTGGTACAGTGTCACAAGAACTATCTAAAGTTTTGTCTATAACTTTACGATAACCAATTTTAACTTGTCCGTCATCACCACTTATCCACAAGAGTGTGTGCTTACGCCAATGCTGATCTATTGGCTTCATTTGTTGACCCTCCAACGGTTTGCTGTAATCCTAAAATGTTATAAAAAGAAAGTGAAAATTAAGTACTTTATCTTAATCAATTTTTTTTAGTTACATATTCATCTACACGAAGCTTATAATCTTCACGGGCATGTGCTCCTCGGGATTCTTTACGATTCTCGGCTGCAACAATAGACATTTGAGCGTTTGCTAAAAGATTTTGTAATTCAAGTGTTTCTACTAAGTCGGAATTCCATACCAAAGACCTGTAAAAAAAAAAAAATTTATTGGTTGCTTTAAATATTACTCCATACATTCTTCAGTTTTCTTAAATTTACCTGTCTGTTACTTTAATATCTTTAAATTGTTTATAAATATCAGACATCAAAGCAACACCCTCCTTAAGTAATGGGCCATCTCTAAAAACTGCCGCGTGTTTTTGCATAGTTTTTTGCATTTTTAAACGTAAATCAGCAGTAGGAATAGAACCATTTGCATATCTTATTTTATCTAAATTCGCTACAGACATTTCACCAGCGCTCTAAAAGAATAAAGCAAATTATCATTTAAAAACTATGTTTAAAAAGAACTCTCTAACATCTTTCAATGAAGGAGCAGGTTCCCCAGGTTTATTTTCTTCAGCAATTGTCTTAGCACATGCACGTCCAAATACAACTAAATCCAACAAAGAATTTGCACCCAAACGATTAGCACCATGAACAGAGGAACAACCTGCTTCACCTGCAGCATATAAACCTCTTATGATTACATCATTTCCTTGATTGTCTACAGTCAAACATTGTCCCTTGTAATTGGTTGGGATTCCACCCATATTATAGTGCACCGTTGGAAGTACTGGAATTGGTTCACGAGTAACATCAACACCAGCGAAAATCATAGCAGTTTCTGAAATTCCTGGTAAACGTTCGTGAAGTTGTTCTGGGGGTAAGTGGTGTAATTGTAAATAAACATGGTCCTTTTCGGGTCCAACTCCGCGACCTTCCATTATTTCGATTGTCATAGAACGCGAAACAACATCACGAGAAGCTAAATCCTTTGCTACAGGTGCGTAACGTTCCATAAAACGTTCTCCTTTAGAATTTATTAAATAACCACCCTCACCGCGACATCCTTCTGTGATAAGACAACCAGCTCCATAAATTCCCGTGGGATGAAATTGAATAAATTCCAAATCTTCTGAAGGCAATCCTTGGCGAGAAACCATTGCTGTACCATCTCCTGTGCATGTGTGTGCAGATGTGCAGGAGAAATAAGCTCTTCCATAACCCCCGGTTGCTATGACTGTATTCTTTGCACGAAATCTATGTATTGAACCATCTTCAAGACAAAGGGCAATAACACCCTGGCAAACATTATTTTCCATAATTAAATCTAAGGCAAAATATTCAATAAAGTAGTTGCAATCGTAACTCAAGGATTGGCCATATAATGTATGTAATAATGAATGACCGGTTCTGAAAAACAAAAATTACATTTACTAGGCAATTGTAAAATTAAATTAGCTTATTAACCTATCAGCAACGCAACAACATCTATGTGCCTGACCACCTTTTCCGTATTTTAAACTCTGTCCACCAAATGCCCTTTGATAAATTTTACCGTCAGGAGTTCTGGAAAAAGGCATACCATAGTTTTCAAGTTCAATTACAGCAGTCGGAGCTTCGCGAGTCATATAATGTATAGCATCTTGATCTCCTAACCAATCAGATCCTTTAACAGTGTCATACATATGATATTTCCAATCATCATCTTTATCCATATTGGCTAAAGAAGCATTAATTCCACCCTGGGCTGCTACGGTATGCGACCGCGTTGGGAACAATTTAGTTATTACGGCGGTTTTAAAACCTTCTGCAACTAAACCAAAAGCAGCCCTAAGGCCAGCTCCACCCGCGCCTACAACAACAGCATCATATGCATGATCTATTACTTCATATTGACCGGGCGATGCGTTTGGATTGCGTTTTGCATCGTGGTGCCCTGGGGTAAAATGCAGTTTTCGAGAAGATGTTACTAACGCAGAACGCATCTAAAACAAAAACCAAAGTAACAAATTAAAAAAACTCATATTATTAACAATACAAATGGTTAGTTTTACATGAAAATGCAACGGTTTATTTGGATACCGAATTATTTTACTAATAGAATGTTGAAAATTTGATTTTAATGTTATAAGCAAATATACTATGATAATTTGTTTTTGTCGAAAATGTAATTGTAGAAAATTAGGATAAAATCATGCACAGCACATTTTCTATTTTAATCTCCTTAATTTTGAATACTATATTCCTATCATTTTAAGAAACCCAATTATAGTTTTATCATTAAAGTAGTGAAACAAAATCATTTAAAGTTAATTAAAAAATAAAAAAAGAATGGAATGCAAAATCACAACCTAATTTTGAGACTGCTACTAAACAATTTTTACTAAGTTACATAATAGATATCCAACAATTTAGCAATGTTGTGCAATTAATTCTTTTTACTTATCCAACTTACCACTGCGGCAGAATTTTTCGCTAATATTGATGGCACGCGTGTTAAGCTGGCCATTTTAATTTTGATTGGTTTTCAAACTAAAGTTTAAAATTTCCAAAATTTATGCTATTACTAAAAAAAAAAATTTTTTTGAATTTTCTCCTGACTAGACTAGAGATTAAATCGGTTGATTGACGGTCTGTTGCCAAATATTACCGAATTTTGACACTACTCATGTGACATACATACATGTGTGTGCACGATAAAAGTTAAATTTTACCTTTATTAATTAAGGTGATACCACATAGGATAGTAATTTCCTGTTCACAACAAAGTATGTATTTAAAATTTATACATAATCAATCTTATAAGGAACATTACTATCGGTTCATTCGCTGTATTATAAGTTTTCAAAACCATAAAATGCATATAAGAGCTGTAAAGCATTCTCATATTGAAATCAGATAATTTTTTTGATATTTTGTTCAAAGTTTAAAAAAATAAGTTTTCGTACGATGGTCGAGTTTGATTTTTTGGCCAATCTTAAGTTATAAGAAATTATATACTTTAAATAAATAAGTATTGTTAATACAATATGAAATTAGGTCATCTTAAATATCATGTCAATAAATGTAAGCACAAGATATACCAAAAATTTGACCCGGCTTACCAAATTAATCCGGACTAAAGAACTACTACTAGGACAACTAGAGTACTTGTTGATAAAAGATTTTCCAGAATTAATTTTTAATTACAAAAAAAAATTCAATAATATCCCATATTCATACACCAAAACATTTATTTAAAGATAACTTATCGATATATTAGTGCTTAAATATTAGTTTATTCATATTTATATTAGTTTATTCATATGGTTCCAGTTCATTTTCTAAAGTGCATATGCACATAAAAAGAATTAATTTAAAAAATTTAAAAAAAAAAACCAAATATAAAAAATACCAGTAAGTTATGAATGACAGATTAATCAAGAATTAAACTAATTAAACGAAAAAAAAACGAAAATATGTGCATATGTCCAATAACGGTCTACTTAAGAAAACACAAACAAAAGTTCTCTTACACAAATTCGGTTCTTACATTACCGAAAAATGGCATTTGGGATTTCAAGAAATTATTAAATTATACGTCATCGATTAATATAATCGATTAATAACTTTTAACTTTCAGATCCCTGTTTCCAATATTTGACATATTTGCTTAAACGACGCATCTGACATTTGAATAAATCTTGTTTTTATTTTTATGCATATTTCCAAGTTTCAATGTTTTTATTTATATAAGTATGTAAATAAACAATTTGTATGTGAATAAAAAAATAAATACAATTCTTAATCAAAGGTGTTTTATATTTTATAGCTTTAAAAAGTACAACAGGTCTTCAACATTTCTGTGATGCATTCAATTTTTTGATAAGAAGTAATTATAAATTGTTCATTCAGACTGTGAAATATTTATCAGTTTTTTAAGTTCATTAAAACTAATTTAAAAATTTAATCATAAACATAAAATTACGTCACAAATTATTATTTATTTTTAAAATATTTATGGATCACGCAGAATGTCAAATTTTTGATACAAATAGAAACAGAAATAGAAATACGTACCTACATACATACTACCTTGTACATGCTATCATATCAATGCCAATGCCGTATTACCTATACATTTAACCAATTTTCAGTCGTCAACTAAATTACTAGCGATAAAGTTCTTTCTTGCAGGCGGAAGTATAAAATATTTTTAATATTTATTCGGAATTCCAAAATTACTGTTAGTTATTTATTTCCATTTATAAATTTAAAATCAATCTAGTGAGCTATTATTTTATTTAATAATTTCAAAAAAATGGACCCAATGAAAGTAGAAGTTAAAGAAATTGAGAATCTTTTTAATTTGGATCCATATTTAAGACCACAAGAAAGGGAAATAAGAAGAAGGTAAGAAGTGAAAATACAGAATTTTTATATTGCATAATTTCATGAACATTAAAATATTGAAACTATGTACTTATTTACAATGTCAAATGAAGGTTACAAATTTTATTTTCAACAAGTTTGTAAGTAAAAGGAATAATTCAAACCGGCCGGCGTATGTAAATAATTTAGAAAGGAATCAAATACATAGCTTGGTTATAAAGCATTGGTAAATTGTTTTACGCACTGTATATAATATATATTTGGTATAATCGCTATTAAACTGATAATTGGTTTCTACAATAAGTATAAAAAAATGTTTGAACTTTAGCATTAATAGTTTTTTTTTGCTTGTTAAAATTGATAAATCTTATACTTAAAGTCATTATAGTTCTTATTATGCCTAAATTTTAATGCTAATTAATTACCGTACTTAATTTTTATAGACATGGAGTCGTTCAAGAATGGCTTAAAAAAATTGAAAAACTTGAAGGAGGAATGGAAGTATTTTCACAGGGTTATAAATATTACGGTTTGCATTTTCAATCAGATGGATCTGTTATAGCTCGCGAATGGGCTCCTGGAGCACAGCAAGTGTATCTAACGGGCGATTTTAGTAAGAATTTTCTTAAAATACAAATTTAATTTTTAAAGAACTTATTTATATTCATATTTAAAATCATGTGTGCTTATAAATGATTTTTTAAATTTTAGATAATTGGCAGTGGGAAAGCCATCCATTTAAAAAGCTTGACTTTGGTAAATGGGAGCTAATTATTCCGCCTAATAGCGATGGAACTCCGCAAATAAAACACCTTTCAGAAATAAAAGTAATTATCAGAAGTCAAAAAAATGAGATGTTAGATCGTTTATCACCTTGGGCGAAATATGTAAAGCAGCCACCAAAAGAAGCAAATCAAGGGGTAAATTATAAGCAATATGTTTGGAATCCTCCTTCTAATGAGGTAAGTATGATTACTGTGTAAAAAGAAATTTGCTATAGTTTTCTAATTATAATTTTAGCGTTACAATTTTGTTGAAGCTCGACCAAAAAAGCCAAAATCCCTTAAAATCTATGAATGTCATGTTGGGATTGCTTCACAAGAACCAGCTGTAGGTTCTTACAAAAATTTTGCTGATAATATCATTCCTAGAATAGTTAAACAAGGTTATAATGCAATCCAAGTTATGGCTATAATGGAACATGCTTACTATGCAAGTTTTGGATATCAGGTTACTAGCTTTTTTGCTGCTTCCAGTCGATATGGAACACCAGATGAGTTAAAACAAATGGTTGATGTAGCCCATAAAAACGGTCTTTATGTTTTGTTAGACGTTGTTCACTCTCACGCTTGCAAAAATGTTCAAGATGGCCTTAATATGTTTGACGGAACTGATAGCTGCTATTTTCACTCAGGAGCTAGAGGCGAGCATAAGCTGTGGGATAGTCGTTTGTTTAATTACTTGGAGTATGAGGTTTTAAGATTTTTATTGTCAAATTTGAGATGGTGGCACGACGAATACAGATTTGATGGTTTTAGGTCAAAATCAAATACACACATTCCTCCCTCGGTGTTTTATTATTATTTTAAATTTTAGATTTGATGGAGTGACTTCAATGTTGTATCACTCACGTGGTATAGGAGAAGGCTTTAGCGGTGATTATAATGAATATTTTGGATTAAATGTCGATACAGATGCTTTGACATATCTAGCTTTAGCAAACAATTTAATTCATAGTTTAAGCTCAGAAGTAATTACTATTGCTGAGGTAATATAATCGTGTTGCGCTAAATAGTATATAAATTTATGATATTATTCAGATATGTATTAATTATAATATTATATTTAATTTTATTTTAGGATGTGTCTGGAATGCCAACTTTATGTCGTCCGATTGATGAAGGTGGTATTGGCTTCGATTATCGCTTAGGAATGGCAATCCCTGATAAATGGATTGAATATTTAAAAGAAAAAACTGATGACGAATGGGAGATGGGAAACATTGTTCACACATTAACAAACCGTCGGTACAAAGAAAATACTGTAGCATATGCTGAATCTCACGATCAAGCTTTGGTTGGCGATAAAACTGTTGCTTTCTGGCTCATGGATAAAGAAATGTACACCCATATGTCTACCTTATCGGAACCTTCAATAATAATTGATCGTGGTCTAGCTTTACATAAAATGATACGATTAATTACGCACACATTAGGTGGTGAAGCTTATTTGAACTTCATGGGAAATGAATTTGGCCACCCTGAGTGGCTAGATTTCCCAAGAGCGGGAAACAATGATTCATATCACTATGCCAGAAGACAGTGGAATTTAGTTGATGATGAATTATTAAAATATAAATTTTTGAATGCTTTTGACAGAAAAATGAATGTTTTAGAAGAGGAATATGGTTGGTTAAGAAGTGAACCAGCTTACGTTAGTTGGAAGCATGAAGGGGACAAAATAATAGCTTTTGAAAGAGCTGGTTTAGTTTTTGTCTTTAACTTTCATCCAACAAGAAGCTTTACTGGATATAGAGTTGGTAAGATTTTAGAATTCAACATAAAACTACAAAAGCAAAAAAAAAAATAACTCATATCTCTACTATTAAAGGAACAAATATCGCTGGTGTTTACAAGGTTGTATTAAGTTCTGATGATGCAGAATTTGGTGGACATTCAAGAATAGATGGCAATTGTGACCATTTTTCAAATCCAGAAGGTTATGCTGGGCGCCAAAATTTCATTGAAGTATAGTTCAAAAATTTCAAAAGGGTTTAAAAACTTTTCTATTAATATATAAATTTTTTTAGGTGTACACTCCGTCAAGGACAGCTGCCATTTATGCAAAAGTAAAGTGATAACTGTTCTAAAGAGACTGTTCTCTATCTAAAGTTTGTTATATATGAATAGCATTAGGAACTAACCATGTTGTACAAAGAAATTTGTGTTAAATAAAAAATTTATATTTGAAAGTTTTTATTCTAGAGTCTTTCTCTAAAGCTTTCATATACATATATATTTTCATACACATATATATGGGTAAGAGCACGTATATCTGTGGATGCATAATGTACCATTCTAAAAAATTAAAAGCCATTATAAAACAGACCAGAGAGATGCTTTATTAATTTTTTCGATTTACTATGTTCATATTTATTTTCTTATAAGATTATTTTTGTTCTTTTTCTTCAACTGTATTATTTGTAGTATTTGCAACAGTCTCTTTTACAGCATTATTTATTAAACCAAATAATCTAGTTTTCATTTCTTCTAATGTCCAATCGCAAAATGGATTGACATCCATTAAGTAAGTGGTTTGACCATTTTCGTATAAACGATTATGAGCTTTAATTATTTCCAGATTTTGTCTAAAAATTTCTTTACGTAAAGGATCTTCCTTAGCTTCATACGTTTTATTAAATTTTCCTTTAAAATCTTTCCATTCAGCTTCAAAATCCGTTTTAGCAATTAAAATAACCGCAAATAATACAACAACGCTTGAATAAATTTTCATTTTGTATAGCTGCTTGTGGCTAAGAAAAAATTGAAAAATCTTTTTTTAAATTAATTGCATTGTTTAAAATTTAAAATTCGGCTTTTATAGCAAAAATTGAAGTTCTAAATAGTTTTTTAAAAATTTTATCGCATTTTGATAAAAACGAAATTTGTTATTTTTCATGTTTAACATTTATTTATCAAATGCTTAATGGTTGTTAATATTTCTCGTAATTACATTTTTATTTCATCATTTTATTTTTTTATATAGGTATACATATGTACTTAGAATATTGTATGTAAATACATACATACAAATGTATTTTAGAAAAAGTAAAACAGTGAATATTTAATTACATATATATTTGTAAATGATGGTATGTATATATATTATATATTAGTACGTACATATGTTAATTTTGTTGGCAGCATACATTCAATAGTTACGGGGGATTTAGACCCCTCAAAAGAATCGAGGTCTTTTCAAATTATTTTCTAAGACAGATGGAGAAAGAACAGAATTAATAAATAAACATATTTAGGACGAAATCAAAAACGTTTTAATTTATTCAATGTAAAAATTTGTATAACTATGTACATGCATACACGCAAATAATAAGTTTTGCGCGTTGTTTGTAGTTTTGCTTTGAGTAAGTGATTTTAGAACATTTCAGAGATTCGTTTGTAACACAACTTTACTTAAGTAAATAACAGAGAACTAAATTTCAGTAATTTAAAAAAAATGTGTTTGAAATCTATGCAAAAGAAACTTTATCGGTAAAATTTATATTATTCCCAACGAAAATATTTCATTTGAAAGACCTTATAAGAGAGAAATGCAAATGCATGTTTCACATCATCACCTTTTCTATTTTTCAATTATGCAGAAATTTTTCATTCAGATCAAAAAAATTAATCAAAGATTTAATTCAAAATTAATTCAATTTATTACAACGTGCAAAATTAGAAATTGAGTTTTTTGTCAGAAGAAATCAATTTTTCCAAAATTTAAGTTAAGTTTAAATTCATGTCAGGTAGTGACATAGTTTGGTATATCTCAAACCGTATTTATAACTTATATCTACAGGTTTCTTTTTTTATCTTAAAAATTTACAATTTTGATAAAATGATGAAAATTTCACCATGAAATATTACATGATGAAAAACTTCTAATTTTAGCGTTCTCGAATTTTCATAACAAAATTAGAATAAAAAGTAAAATAAATCTTTAGATATTAGGCTTGTAAAATTAAGATGTTTGGTTAAAAATAGGCTGACAATTAATAAAATTCAAAGCTTATTTCAATATTTAAAAGAAAAATTTAAACATTTAGCAATTATGAAATGTTTTTCTCAATAATTTCATTTTAATTAACTAAGTTAAACAATAAAAAAATAGACATTGAATTAAGAGCTTACCTTTAACATTTCAACTGTTTTACACACATATAAATCCTTTAAATTCAATTAGCATGGTTTAAATTTCTTCCTTGTAATAACCTTTTTAACTGATTTTCATAACCACCTCTGTAGTAAATATAAACGTACATAATATACGAGCATTAAGTACTTACTAATTTACTCTACCGTAGGAAAGTAAGTTCAATCATTTATTTAACCTTTGACTATTTTATTATTGACTTTAGATAATTTCAATATAAAATTTTAAAAATTGCATAAAATTCTATTTATTTTTTTTCTAAATAAAATTATTTTTATAAAAAAAATTTAGTAAAGCAAAAAACTGTTAAAATTATATAACAGGATTTTAATTTTCAATTCATCTCTGCTAACATCCTATCACAAGACAAATCGTAAATTTATTTCGATTTGTCAAATTAAATAAAATATGAAAAAACAAAATTTAAATTTTCAAGAATATACAAATTATTATTTATTATAGTATTTTTTGTACTTACAAGCTTGAAAATTTTGTAGCGAATCACAATAGTCATCGAGTGTAGTGAAAAAAATAAGTAAACATAAACACATAAACTATAGTAAAATATGTACATATATATGTATGTAAGACTATGTAAATTATTAAAAAAAAAATTGTGGATCACAAAATTTTAAAAATCTATTAACAAATTAATATAAATATGCAAAAGATTGCAATATAAAATATTTGGAATATACACGAGTATTTTAAAGAAAATTCAATCTTTTATCAACTTACTTTTTATTGTATGAAATAATAAGAGATAAATTTTACTATAAGCAGAGTCATTAACATTACAACTTCAACATCTTTAAAAACATACGCACGTTATATACAAAATAAACAAAAAAATTTGTATGCAGGAATTTTCCATAATAAAAATATTAACAATAACAACAAAATAGTTTCTGTTTTTAAAAATTTTTGATCAAACCAATGGACCGGACCGTAAAGTAGAACTTCTTCCTTTAACAATTAAAAATATATTTTCTAAAAAGCATTCAACCAATGTACTATAGTTATTTAAAATTTCTTCCATTAAACTAACAAATATTTGAAATTGTTGCTGTAAAAGCAAAAATTTCGAGAGGCATGCGATGGTAGAAGCACAAACAGCTTCAACAAAAAAAAAAATATTTATTAGTTTATAAAAGCTGCTAAAATTTCAGACCCTTAGACCTTACCGTTTAGCTAAAAGAAAATGATATCAAATATTTAAAAAAAAAATAAATTCTAGATAACGGTTAATTTCAACTACCACTTTATCACTTCAATGTTCAACTATGCTGTTCGACGGTAGAAGAAGTATGTCGCTTTTGAAAAACTTTAACATTTAGTAGGAACAACTTGCGTTAAAGTTTTCTTCTATAGAATTAAGTTTTTAGTTAAGAAATACATCTGTATGAAATTTCAGTCAACTATTTTAAGGGTTGTATAAGTTTTGTACGAACGAATCTGGATACTGGCACCACTTTTCACAAAATAACATTATTTTTTTGTATTAATAAAATCACTATCATAATTAATATTTGAAATTATTTTTAAAAAAAAGAATCAATATCTTAAAATACTCTTAGTGTTAGTAATCCTTATTTTATTATATATAAATATATATATTATGTATATATATATGAAAAATATATATATATATGATTTTCACAGTCATTTTTAAAAATTTTGGTTATTTATGTATATTTTAACCTTCCCTCGGCCCACAGGGACACATAGGAGTAAAATTTTACCCTAGCCTAATTTAAATATAAATAAAACTGTAGCTCGTACCCAGATTTTGGAATGACCTTTAAGAAGAACCTACTCAAATATATTTTACATAAAAGAATTGCTTCTTTTCAGAATAGAAATTCGATTAGATTAATTTTGATAAATTTTAGAGCCTTAAACGAGCTGATTTTCGTTAATACAAATTGTGAATAACAAAAATTTTGATGAAAATAGCAGTTTGACTAAGTTTTGATACTTTCTTTTAAGTTAATTAACTTTATTTCTTAGTTTATATTTGCTACTGAATATTTATCGTATAGATATATGCTTGCAATTTTGCAATTCCAAAAAAAATCCATTTAATTTTTGGAAAAATAACGGTAATAGTTCACAAAAATGTCTAAGGTAAAATTGTACCCCTAAAGACATATAATGGTTTGAGATACAGTAGACGAAATCGTTAAAGGGCACATTAAAATTTGGATATATTAGTATAAAAAAACAACAAAAGAAAGGAAAAACAAAATAACACCCGCATTTGTTTCTTTAAATCTTTTTTAAAAAAAAAAAAAACAAAAACAAATTTAACATTTGAACAAGTGTTCTCAAGGTGTTTTTACAATACCAAGCTAGTACCTACACTCCATATGTTTTTTATAGATGAAAATTTTTTAATTTTTCTAGATCAAATATAATGAGAATATTTCAGTACGTAATTTGAATTTTTGCTGAATAAAGCCTAAAATTTTTTGTGTCATTTTTAATCGAATTAAGAATAAAATTTTTCTACTTAAAAAAATTAAGTAATGAATGCGTTAATTTTTTTTAATTTCTTATTTCTAACTGCAGCTGCTCAATCTTCTTTCGATTATGAGGAAGAATGGAAAGCTTTTAAGGTAAAATTTAAAGCAAAAAAAAAAAAAAATTTAAAACTTTTCAAAAATTTCACAAAATTTTTTTTTGTTATTTTTAAAAATAACAATAGAATATTTTGCACATAACAGTACATACATATATTGATGTATATTTTAAGTTGACGTGGTAATTTAAAATAAAATAAAAATGCAGATTAGAAAAAATATAAATGTATTTAATTATTATAAAAATATTAGAGCAACTGTTAATTAAGACTGCTTTGAAAAAGTTCACATTAGCTCAAAGTTATATAGACTTATCCGAAGTCAATTTACAAAATTTAAAAATTTCAAACAGCAAATAATAAGTGTTGCTTGAAATGTTAGGTACAAGTCACTTATCCATACGTACATACATATAAGTCGTTCTTCAATACATAAATGATTACATATAT